TGTTTGCATGAGTGTTTGTATAATTATATGTCTTAATTAATTCTGTGAAGTCTATATCCCCTGCTCTGATTTTTTCTTATTTTTAATCTTTTAGCTAGGATACTAAAAGATATCTCAAGGAGAGCATGAGTCATTTACTGGTCAAAGGTTTTCCTTAAGCCCCCTTAAGCATTAAATTTTTGTTCTCTACCATTAAGTGTGTGTGTGTGTATGTGTGTGTGTGTGTGTGATATGAAGGCTGAAATCACAGTTACATTTTTGCCCCATATTATGTCAAGGGCTAGAATGTTCCCTCTCCTATCACTGCTGAGATGTGCAAATATCTAGATATTCATATAGACTTCTAGTAACTTGAGTGACTTTTCAAAAGTCTTCTGTCCTCAGAATTGCTTTTGGTTTACTATAGTTTGCTTTTTAGCCAGTGTTTGGATATAGGTCTTTCTTAAGAATCATGTGCCGGTAAAGCTTTGTTATTATAGATGTCTGGCATGGAGTATATGCTCATTTCTGTCCCCATGCTTTTCTCAGTTTCTTCTAAGTGGGTACAGTCAGTCCATACCCATAGGCTCTCCTGTGCCTGGGATTGACTATGATCTTACTGCATCTCTTATTGTCTATCTCTTCTCTGATTCCCTGCATTACACATTTATTTGCTTTGCAGTTGACTTGTTGATGCCAGTTGCAAGGGGTATGAACATCTATTTAATTGTTCTCAACCAGGATCTTCATTATTTTTGGCTGAAACTAAACAAAGATAAGTGACAGATAATCACTTAATTTGAATGTATGTGCTAAAACATTTATTGACAAATCTTGGAAACAGACTCTAAAACCTATGGTACAAAGCACCACATTATCAATATGATTAATTTTATAATAAAAGCAACAACTTGTGCAGTGAGTAATTCTTATAATATTTTATAATAAATGGGAAATGATTGTGAAATGATTATGTTCCATATAGATATATGAATATCTCAGAGCAAAGTACCAACATCAATAGTAACTTTGCATTTTAATACAGAACAGTTAGTTGTAGTATTTATGTCATATTTTTAAATTGTTTAATGTCCTTGATTTTATCTTCAAAATTTTGAATTTCTGGATATGTTATGTTTTACTTAGTGCATGTTTTCAAAAGTAAATTTATAATATACACACATAAATTACTTATATTGGAGGAGATTGTTTCTAAAATGTTTAGAAATTACTGTAAAATATTGTCCACAAGATTGGTACAAGAAAGCTAAGAGCAGAGCTTTGGAGTAATGTTAAAAAAGGGAAGTTCCATTGAATAAAAGCTATCTACACTTACTATATCACAGCCAATTAACCATCAGTCTCATGGCTATTTTAATCAAGACACCACTCTGACAGAACCACAGCTTACTACAAGGCCAGAAATGAACTGTAAATCTCCCTCCTGGTCATACTAGAGGAGCAGCCTCAGTGTTTTAACAACTCCCACTGAAATTTGGATTCCCAGAGCTCCAGAAAAGTCTGTTCCTCAAGTAGTTTACATCTTTTTTAAAGAGTCAGAAAATGCTATGCAGAAGCACATACACAGCTATTATAGAGAATAAAAAGTAGATTTTCAATTTTGAATAATCCATTGATTGTGTTTATCCTCATACTGTGCCTTTAGAAAGGTAAGTGAAGGTATTACAGTGAACTAAGTCATTAGAAGTTTAACATGCTAAGGATGTTATTTTCATTAATTTGTGTTTGGATTTGGCTTTTGAGACATCAGAACCCCTCTTACTTAGCAGCATTTCACAATGAGAACAAACAATTTCTGTGAAAACTGAGAAGACATATTCTCTCAAAATTGTATTATAAATTTAAATTTAGCATTAGTGTCAAGGATTAGGTATGATGAATACACTCAGGAAAAATTAACTCTGATTATTCAGAAAACTCATATCATTATTGCAAATAACAGAAAAGCTAGCACCTAATAAGCTCTTGCAGCTTAGGGATATTTTTCTTTTCATCAAGTTTCAAGGAATAATAATATATTAATAGTTGAGTGGATATTCACAAAGTAATGATGAAATGTAAATAATTCAAGAATATCACTGTATTTTAGCAGAATAGCAAGCTTCCAAGAAAAAAGAGGCAGTCAAAAATACAAATTCAAATAGAAGATTTAAAGCTACTTTGTATCAAACTTACAGTGTATCCTTGATTGTCTCAAAGATATACTTGATCAAGGAATTTGATGGTACTAGAAAGCTATGTAGTTAAAAATATAAGTTAATTTATTAAAGGTAATTTGAACATAAGGGAAAAATACAAAATTGTGCAATACTTTAAGTTATATTGGGTATAATTCATACAGTATAAGAGTCACTCATGTAAGTATGCATTCTATTATTTTTCTACTTACATAGTTGCACACACATGATCACACTTTGATTATAAATAATTTCTGTCACTACAGACACAAAACTATGTGACTTTTCCTGAAGACTTCTTAGACCAAGATGACCACTTGTGTACCTTCTGTCTTTTTAGATTTATCTTTCCTTTGCATATAAATGGAATTACCCATCAGGCAGTCTTTGTGGATGACTACTTTAAATAATAACCATAATGTTTTTAAGCTTAATCTCTCTTTTGAAGATAAGTATGTACATCTTTTGTAAAACAAAATCTGTCAAGATTGAAATTATTATTTTCCCCAATTAGCTGTAATGTAAGGAGAAGAAAGTACCTGAATCAATTATTTTTTCTGAATTAATTGTGTTTATATTAAGTGATATATGTTGTATTCACATAGGTAACAGCAGAACTTTACATCTAATTTTATCATATCTAAATTAATCAAACAAATTTTGCTTTCATTTCTTTTTTGGGGATGGGGAAAATTAAGCTCAAAACTTAGGACTTTATACTTGCAAAGCAGGTACTTTGCTGCTGGAGCCATACCTCCAGTCAATTTTACTCTGGGTATTTTGGAGATGGGGTCTCATGAACTATTTGCTAAGGCTGGTCTCAGACTGCAGTCCTTCTGATCTCAGTCTCCCAAGAAGCTAGGATTACAGGCAGGTGCCATTAGCTCCTGGCTCATTCCTTTTTTTTTTCTCAGCACTGTGGTTTGATCTCAGGGTCTCAGTGCTTGCTAGACAGGTGCTCTTATTGCTTGAACCACTCTGCCAGCCCTCAGTCACTTCTTAATAGGAATTTATATGAAAAATTCTTAGGATTGTAATTTGGATTATATGAATGACTCAAACTCAATGCATGGCTCTTTAGTTGTCAAGCCTAAGCCTAGCTAGGAGGTCATACCTATACTATCTCAGCTGACACCCAGAAAGTCACTTTAGGGCAGTTCCTAGTCCAAGACCTGGGAAGGCTTACTTAATTATGTAGGCCCCATTATATTTAATTTATTTCAGAGCATGTGATAATCTCTTGATTAAAAGTAATTAAAATAAAACTTATAACTGACTGTTCAAGGAAAATAAATTTTCCTTTTTCTCCTCTACATTCTCTAGCTTATTTTCTTTCAAAGGCTATTGACTTTGTGTACTTATAATATAAAATCAGGTATGCTAAATGTGGATTTAAAGACATATTTTTAGAAAGCTTGCTTGGAAGGGGAAGAGAAGAATAAAAGAAGCAAATACTTGGAAAGAACCAACATTTATAAATGCTAGCTTCCCTTCTGAAACAAAATGAAAGGACAAGATAAAGCATGTTTAATTTATGCTTAATTGTACTGATTTCCTATCCAAATTTTTATGTTGCGTTGCCACAGGGTATAACATTCCATGTAGCAACAATTCATCCCTAACTTTAACTGGCCTATTTATTCCATCTAACACTTGTGAGCCTTGTCATTTCTTCTAAGTATATTTAATTCCTGAAATTATGGTCATTAAGCCTCCAAAGCAAAATTTTTGCTCATTGCCCTAAACATGTCATACAACCCTGCAAAGAAGTTGTAATGTGTTAATGTTCTTTCATGCCCCACCAGATCCATAGATGATCATTCAGCACCCATTCTGTGTGCTCTTACTGGTTGACCTATAGAAACTGCATTGTTTTTATCTTTCTGTCCTTAATCTATAAGCATTATCCATTTCTTTAAAATATCTAAACTTGGGGAACAATTGAAAAAATTTGGGTAATGATGATAGAGTATTTTTATGGGAGTCTGAGTAACCATAGAAATGTCATTAAGTACTTTTGATGACTGTAGATCCTATGAACTATTAATATGTAAACAGCCCAGTACAGATGATTTAATGTCATACATTATAACTCAAGCAGGAACTATTCTTTAGAACAGAATCACTTTAATATTTAGTTTTAAATCACCATACAATATCACATATACAAACTATACAAGCACCTCACTAAACAATGGTAACACAAAGGATTTAATAAAATTAGCTCAAAAAAATCTGAGACTAAGTCCATGTTTCCTAAAATTCTTAGTATACTATCCAAAATAAGTAATTTTAAAAAATGAATTCAGAAGCTGTCTTCCATGTGTAAATTAGCTTCTAATTTGTATACTTATTTGTTTTAAAGTCATAAAATGACTTCTATAAATTACTTATGATTTATAGAACAATGTAATTTCATTTGAAATTCTATATTCCTTACATATTGTAATAAATAACCTCAAGGAGTGACAGGTAGAGAAGATTATAACAATAAAAGGCAACAAATTGCAGTTAATTATTATCTTTCTATGCAAGCAAATCAGGGACAAAGCTAAGATCAGTTGATAGTAGTATCATTTGGTAAAATAAAGTGATAGAAAATGGAACTTTCATTGTTTTAATGCTTTTTATTACTGTATAACTATATGAATATTATTTTAAAGTTATATGAAACATAATCTCAAATTATACAGGCTGAGTTGTTGACATATCATCAACTGTTATCACCAACTAATAGAAATTGGAACTGATTGGTGTTAACTGTGTCTTTGAAAAAAATCACTTTTTATTAAAGAACTTCCAGAACCTTTCTGACTTGAGTAAATGGATCATAAAAATGGATCTGTTGTGACTGAATTCATTTTAGTAGGATTTTCTGGAGGATGGGAGCTTCAAATTTTCTTCTTTGTGATATTTTTCTTGATCTACAGTGCTACTGTGGTGGGAAACATTCTTGTTATATTTACAGTGACATTTAGTTCCATTCTTCATTCTCCCATGTACTTCCTTCTTGGAAACCTCTCCTTTTTGGACATGTGTCTCTCCAGTGCCACAACACCCAAGATAATCATAGACTTGCTTACTGAACACAAGACCATTTCCATATGGGGCTGCATGGCACAGATGTTCTTTATGCACTTTTTTGGGGGTGCTGAGATGACTCTTTTGATAGTCATGGCCTTTGACAGGTATGTGGCCATTTGTAAACCACTGCACTACAAGACAATCATGAACCACAGGTTGTTGAATAGGTTTGTGATACTCTCATGGATAATTGGCTTCATACACACCATCAGCCAGATGGTATTAACAGTGAACTTGCCTTTCTTTGGCCACAATATCATAGACAATATATTTTGTGACCTTCCCCTGGTGATCAGACTTGCTTGTGTTGAAACAAGTCTGGAATTATTTGTCGTTGCTGATAGTGGGCTGCTTTCTTTTGTCTGTTTCATCTTCTTGATTGCCTCCTACACTTTCATCCTGGTCACTGTACACCAAAGATCACCTGCAAGGCTCTCCAAGGCCCTGTCCACATTATCTGCCCACATCATTGTTGTCACTTTGTTTTTTGGACCCTGTATATTTATCTATGCTTGGCCATTCAGTAGTTTTGCAAGCAATAAAACCCTTGCTGTATTTTACACTGTTATCACACCTTTACTGAATCCCATTATTTACACTTTGAGAAATCAGAAAATGCAAGAGGCCATGAGAAAATTACATTTTCAGCATTTTAGCTCCACACAGAACTTCTAGATTTTAGCACCATATAATTTACACAATTTTTAAATATGACAAATTGAATAGATTAAAAATAATTCATTGTTTTGCATTTTATGTTAGAATCATAGCCAATGCAGAAAAAATTTAACACTAACTTACTTTAAATGCACAGTTAAGGTCATTAAAATATCTCTCAGTGATAATGAGGTTTGCAGCATCTTTTCCTTAAAACCCATTGAGCACTTTTCCCTTAGACAGTCAATACATCCATATGGTAAAAAAATAATTTTAAGAGAACATGTGAAGTAAAAGATATATATGATAAGCCTACAGTCAACATTCTGAATGGGAAAACTGAAATAATTTCCTCTATAGTTAAGAATGAGACAAGGGTGTCTGCTCTCCCTGCTTATGTTCAATATAGTACTGAAATTCCTAGCAAGATCAATAGGCAAGAGGAAAAAATGAAAGGGATTAAATTTAGAAGGAAGAAGTCAAACTATCTGTTTACAGATGATACGATTCTATACCTAAAAGACCACAAAGATTTCATAAAAATCCCTTGATCAGATAAACACTTTTGGCAACATAGCAGAATATAAAATCAATGTACAAAGATCAGTAACTTTTCTATATTGCCGCAATGCCCAGGCTGAGAAAGAAACCAGGAAAATAGTCCCATTCACAATAGCTTATAGAAAGACCTTACTATAAATTTAAACAAGTTTCCATAATGGAAACTATGAAACCTTGAAGAAATAAACTGAAGAAGACATCAGAAGATGGAAAGACCTTACAGGTTCATGAATTGACTGTATTAATATTGTGAAAATGCCTATACTACCAATAGCATTCTACAGATCCAATGCAATACCCACAAAAATCCCAATGTCATTCTTCACAGAAATATAAAAATCAAGCCTAAATTTCACAGGGAAACATAAAATAATCTCAAGTAGTTAAAGTAATCCTAAACAAAAAGAGCAAGGCTAGACATATCACAGTACCAGACTTCAAATTAAACAGGGCCATAGAAACCATACAGCATGCTATTGGCACAAAAACAGACATGAAGACCAATGGAACAGAACACCTAGAAGTAATACTGTACAAATACAGCAATCTGATTTTTGACAAAGGAGCCAAAGACATACACTGGAGAAAATACAGTCTGTTCAACAAATGGTGCTAGGAAAATCAGCTAATTTACATGTAGGAGAATGAAACTAGCTGCCAATCTGTTGCCTGGCTCAAAAAGGAATTAAAAATGAATAAATGATCTTAATATAAAACTTAAAAATTTAAAACTACTAAAGGAAATAGCTGAGGTTGCCAAAAACAGATAAAGAAAATATGATTATGTATATGTATGTATATATGATTTATACTCAGCCATAAAGGTGAAATTATATTATTTGCAGGAAAATGAATGGAACCAGATATCATCATGCTGAGTGAAATAAGTTAAGCTCAAAATGCCAAAGATCACATATTTGTGCTCATTTGTGGAAGCTGTACCTAAAATGATGATGATTATGATGATGATGATGATGAATAATGAGCCATGAATGTGAAAGGGGGACAGTTCTGTGTGGATGCACAGGGGGGAGAAGAGGGAAAGGAAAGGATACTCAAGGGTGAAGAGTATTAAAGTACATCACACATGTACATGTGAAGACAGAATACTGAAACTCACCAACACTGTTTGAATACAGGACATGGAACTAGAATGGAGGGGTTGAATGTGTGCAAGATATACTGCATGTATGTATGGAATTGTCACAGTGAATCTTGTATTATTCATGTAAGCTAATTAAAAAATTTGAAAAACAAGTTTTTTAAAAAGAAAAAAGTGTATGTGAATATTCTTTTGTAAATTTTATTTATTTTTTATTGTTGTGCTGAATGGGGGTACATTGGAGTATTTTCAAAAGTTCCTTCAATGTATCAAATATATCATACTTGAATTTACCAGCTCTGTTGCTCTCTTTCATCCCCCACCCCACCCCAGAACAGTTTCAATAGGTATCATGTTTGCATTTACTTACATGTGTATACATTATTTGTGCTATCTCCCCCCACACACTATTCTCCTTCCTTGCCCCCAGGCAGAACCTGTTCTCATATTTTGTAGAAGACAAACCTAAAAGATAATAAGAAAAACATGGCATTTTTGTTAGTTTGAGGTAAAGATAGCTATCCAGGGAGATTCCTTGTGCTGTTTTCATGTATATATGTATTACAACCCAAATTGATTAATCTCTACTAGACCTTTTCACTACTCCCTTGTCCCCTTCTCATAGTGGCTTTGGCCAGTTTAAGATTACTATATTAATTCCCATAAAGTGAGCACATCAACGACACTTAAGTTTTTGTTTTCTTTATTTTCCCTATCCCTACTGTGTGCAGTCTCCTCTTAGTGAATGCCTCATGTCCAATAATATTGCTGCTTTTGTTTTAGGTCTATAATCTGCATATGAGGGAGAGCATACAATTTTTGGCCTTCTGAGCCTAACTTCATTTAGGATGATGTTCTCCTATTCCATCTATTTACCTGTGAATGACAAATTTCATTCTCTTTGCAGCTCAGTAAAATTCCATTGTGTATACATACTAAATTTTCATTTTTTGTAATTATATATTCATTTATTCATATGTGGATACATTGTTTGGGTCATCTATCTCCCTTGCACCCCACTTACTTCTTCTCTCCCCACCCCCCTCACTTCCAGGCAGAACGTGTTCTACATTCTCCAATTTTGTTGAAGAGAAGTCATAAGAGATAATGAGAAAGACATAGTGTTTTTGCTAGTTTGAGATAAAGATAGCTATACAGAGAGATTCCTAGCATTGATTCCATGCATATGTGTATTGTAACCCAAATTGGTTAATCTCTACCTCTTCACTACTTCCTGGTCACCTTCCATTAGTGGCCTCTGTCAGTGTAAGATTACTTTATTCGCTCCTCTACAGTAGGCACAGCAAACACTTTCAAGTTTTGAGTTTCCTACCTTTCCTTATTCCTCCAGTAGGCTTTCTCCCCTTAGCATGTGACCCATGTCCAATAATATTACTGCATTTGTTTTAGGTCTAAAGTCTGCATATGAGGAAGAACATGATTTTTGGCCTTCTGAGCCTGGCTAACTTCTCTTAAGGTGATGTTTTACTGTTCCATCTATTTACTTGTGATGACAAAATTTCATTCTTCTTTGTGGCTGAGTAAAATTCCATTGTGTATAAGTACCACATTTTCTTAATCCATTCGTTGATAGTGGGGCATCTTGACTGTTTCCATAACTTGGCTATTGTGAATAGTGCTGCAATAAACATGGGTGTGCAGGTGCTTTTGGAATAACCTGAATCACATTCCTTTGGGTATATCCCTACAAGTGGTAAATACCACATTTTCTTAAACCTTTCATTAGAAGTGTGGCATCTTGGATGCTTCCAAAGGTTGACTATTGTGAATAGTGCTTCAGTAAACATGAGTGTGCAAGTGCCTTTATAGTAACCTGAGTCACATTCTATTGGGTATATTCCTAGGAGTTACATTGCTGGATCATATGGCAGATGTATTTTTAGTTCTTTAAGGAACCTACATATTGTTTTCCAAAGTGACTGTATTAGCTTACATTCCCACCAGCAGTGTATGAGTGTTCCTTTTTCCTGCATCGTCACCAACATTTATTTTTGTTGTTGGTGTTGTTGTTGTTGGTATTCTAACAGGGGTGAGGTGGAATCTTAGTGTGGTTTTGATTTGCATTTCCTTTATGGCCAGCGATGGTGAGCATTTTTCCATGTGTTTTTGAGCATTTGGACTTCTTCCTTTCAAAAAGTTCTGTTTAGTTTAGTTGCCCATTTCTTTATTGGGCCATTGATATTTGAGGGGTTTAGTTTTTGAGTTATTAGTCATTTGTATTATGTATAGTTAGCAAGTATTTTATCCCATTCTGTGGGTGGTGTCTTCAATTTAGAGACCATTTCTTTTTTGTGCAGAACTTTTTAGTTTCAGGTAGTCCCATTTGTAAATTCTTTGTCTTACTTTCTAAGCTGCTTGAGTTCTATGGAGGAATTCCTTGCCCATGCTTATTGCTTTCAGTGTATTGCCTGCACTTTCCTGTTCTAGTTTCAAGGTTTCAGGTTTCAAGAATGAAGGTCCTTAATCCACTTTGAATTGATGCTAGCACAAGGAAACAGGTATGGATCTAATTTCAGTTTTCTACAGGCAGATAACCAGTTTTCCCAGAAACATTTGTTGAGGAGGATCTCTTTTCTCCATCATATGTTTTTGGTACCCTTGTCAAATTTTATGTTAGTGTAGCTGCATGGATTCATACCCAGGTCCTCTGTTCTTTTCCATGGCTCTTCATGTTTGTTTTTGTGCCAGTACCATGTTGTTTTTATTGCTATGGCTCTGTAATATAGTTTGAAGTTGGGTACTGTGATACCTCCAGTGTTGATCTTTTTGCTCCATATTGCCTTGGAAATTCTTGGGCTTTTGTGTTTCCAAACGAATGCATTCATTGATCTCTGTGATGAATGTCATTGGGATTTTGATGGAAACATGTAGATTGCTTTTGGTAGTATAACCATTTTTACTATGTTGATTATAACAATCCATGAGCATGGGAGATATTTTTACCTCCTGTAGACTGCTTTGATCTGTTTCTTCAATGGTTTGTAGTTTCATTGCTAGAGGTAATTTATATACTCTGTTAAATTTGTCCCAGGTAATTGATATTTTTTGAGGCTATTGTAAAAGGAATTGTTTTCCTACATTTTTTCTCAATCTTCTCATTGTTGGTTTATAGAAAGGCTACTGATTTTGTGCATTGATTTTTGTGTTCTGCTACTTTGATGAATCTGTTTATTATGCCTAGGAGTTATTCTTAATGATGATGTTCATTGATATGGGTAATGAATGTCATTCATAAATGTACATTATCACTTTAGGTACCATGAATGAATTCTGATTGAGATAATGGTTAATAAGGGAAAAACATAATTTGAATTTCTTGAATCAGTTATGGAAA